GTGTGTTGTTGAGTTTGCAGATGCTGAAATCAACACTACAAGTGAACACTGTCTCCCATCATGCATTTCTGCCCACCTGACTGCTGTCTCTCTGTGATTGGTCGATAGAGAATTAACTGGAATAATTTATCTCAAAGTTTTTGTCACCATGAAACTTGTTTATTGTTTATGACAGCGTGGATGTTTACAGCTGCTGTTTCTACGGCGACAGATGTTGTTTTCAATAAACAGACAGGAGATCAAAGAGAGTTTGAACATTAGGAGGTAAACAGTGAACACCTGTCGGACACCTGAGCAGGTAGACACACAGACAGGCAGACGGGTGGCGCTGCGGCCAGCAGGGGGCGCTCACCGCCAACTGGACACTTGGTGGTTTCATGAGAAGCTTCATTCACAGCTCAGGACCTCACAGAGCAGGAAAGTTCAGACACACAGACAGGTCGGTGTCGGTCCTCCTCGGCGGAGCAGCAGCCGGACGTGACCCGGACTTTGTGAGCGTCTCAGCGGACAGTCGCGCGGCGGAGGACCGGAGCAGACCGGCGGCTCTGTGCGGAGCTGCAGCCGGAGCGGAGCGCAGCTGAGCGGCTTCAGGACGGAGCTCCGACCGGACGACACGGTGAGTGAAACAAAGTCAACTGCTTTCATTTTCTGAGCAGCTCTGAGTTTATTGATCAGCTGATAAATCAGATCGATCATATGTGAAGCATTGACCTCAGGCTGATGTGAATGAATGAATGAATGAATGAATGAATGAATGAATGAATGAATGAACGAACAGTCTGCTGCTCTCACTGAACTAATTAAAACGAGTTAATCAGTGTGAGAGCTTCATACAAACTGACTTTGGACCAGTTCTGACTCCATTAATCGATACAGAACATGTTGATGTGATGATGGGAGCAGCGGCTCCACATCAGGTGTGTTTGATTTCTTCATCTGTCCTGTTTTCTTCATATTGATCATCTGCTGATGTTTCCGGTTCTCTCATGTTTCCACAGATTTCCTTCACTGCTGCAGATCAGTTTGCAGCACTTTGTCCCGCTCTCACATGAAACCCAACACTGAGCCTCACAGAGCAGAACCTTTGTGGAGCTGGCGCTCTGACGGGTTCTGCTCTGACAGCTCAAACGTTTCTCTGCTATTCTGAGCAGCTTGGATTCTTTTCTACGAGTTAACAGAACGTTCTCTCAGAAACCCTGGTTACGTATTTATAAAGCAGCAAATTGCAGTGTTCAGGGTTCCACTGACTGATGTGGAACATGGACAGGTTCTGTCTGCAGACGGTCTCATTGTTCCTTGTATAGAACCCAGAAGAACACTCAGGGCTTTGTGGATGTTCCTGAAAGGCTTTGACTTTGCTCTTTTTACAGAATACATCAGCTACAGAACCAACAGTGGTTCTTCACATTGATACCATAGAACCCATTTATCATGGGTTCTTGACAGAACCCCCAAAGGTGCTTTTAAAGAACTATCATAAATGGTTCCTATAGCCATAATAGATCACTTGTTTTCCAGACAGGGCTTTGTGGGTCCACCTGGTTCTTCCTTGACAACAAAACCTCATAATCAATAGAACAAAAAGTCCAAAGTAAGAACTTGCAGCATTTCTGGGTTCCTTCCATTAGAACATACTTTATGTTCTGGATGAGACAGGTGGCTGCATGAAGTCATCAGAATTTCACAAATCCAAATCTGGTATCTTAGAACGTGTCTGAGCAAGAACCCAGAAGTTTCTTGGACAGTGATTTCTGGTGTGGAATGGAACCATTTCTGATGGTTCTGTGAAGAACTGGTTAGAACCAGCTTCAGGCTACACTGACTGGCCTCACTGATTGATGAAGTAATGTACTGATTGATCACCTGACGTATCGATTGATCGACTGGTTGATGTTTCCTCAGGTGTCCACAGCAGGATGAAAAGTCTCTGCTGAGCATCACCTCAGGATGACATCATCAGTCCTCGCCGTGCCCTCGCCCCTCCTCCTTCATCATCATGCTCTTCAATGGCCCCGCCTCCTGCTGTTTCTGTGGCTTTGGCTTGGTGGACAGGTGGTCCAGGTGAGCTCCTCCCACCAGCACTTCCACCCCCACTCCATAAAGATCCCTGGTGACATCACCCTGGGCGGCCTGTTCCCCATCCACGCCCGCGGGCCCCACGGTTTGCCCTGCGGCGAGCTGAAGAAGGAGAAGGGGATCCACCGCATGGAGGCCATGTTGTACGCGCTGGACCAGATCAACAGCGACGCTGAGCTGCTGCCCAACATCACGCTGGGCGTCCGGATCCTGGACACCTGCTCCAGAGACACCTATGCCCTGGAACAGTCACTCACCTTCGTCCAGGCGCTGATCCAGAAGGACACGTCCGACATCCGCTGCTCCAACGGAGAACCACCACTCATCCGCAAACCAGAGCGCGTGGTCGGTGTGATCGGAGCGTCGGCCAGCTCCGTGTCCATCATGGTGGCCAACATCCTGCGTCTGTTCGAGGTAACCGCACACCTGTGCACAGGTACACAGGTAGCAAGTACACCTGGGAATGTACAGGTAACCTGCAAGAACGTAGTCAGTGGACAGGCAGACAGACAGGTAAGAAGACCTACAGGTGAGCAGACAGACAGGTAGACAGGTAATGAGCGTCTGGTTGGTGGATTAATGTTTAAACGCTTTCTGGGTGACTGCAGTCAAAGCCTTTAATGACACTTTGGTGCAAAACTGAGTCCAAGGGTTGGGTCAGAACCAGGTCCAGGGTCAGAACCAGGTCCAGGGTTGAAGGTTGTAAGTTATAAACCTATACATAAAATCCTAGAGTTCTACATGAAGGTCCAGATAGCTGCACCTGGAGCTATGAAGTTATGGCTTAAGTTCTACGTACAGTTCTAAGGAAAGTTCTACATCAGCTTCTCGCAGTTCCACATAAATGTATACGTAGGCTGACATGAAGTGACAGAGCGATGCTGGAAGAAGAAGAGCTTTGGTGTTCGCATGGTGGACAGGAAATGTCGGCAACTTCATGTGAGTTTGTTCCCAAAATGAGACATTTCCTAAAAGCACAGGAAGAAATGATCAAGTAGAAAAACCCGCAAGTACACGTTTATCTCGTCTGTTCGGAACCGTTAGAACAAGAACCACTGACAGTCCTGCACAAAGCCCAGAGCAGGAGCAGCTGTGTGGAACCATGTGCAGGTTCACCGGTGGAGACATTTCCAGGTTCTGCACCAGTGACCAGATTCCAACTGAGTGACTTCAGGTCCAGGTATTGCGTGTCAGGTTTCAGGTCTGTTCTGGTTCTGAGGTAGAACCTGTGTTTCAGTCTGTCCACCAAAGAGCAGCAGGTCCAGCAGAAGGTCTAGGATGGAATCGGTTCTTCAGGATGTTTGATGTTCGGCAGAGAGAACTGAAGGAGTTCTACAAAGACAGCAGTGAGAACCGAGGTTCCTCTGGGTGCTGCTGAAGCTCTAAAACAGTTCCTATGAAGTTATACATGAATTCATACAGTTACCACAAAGTTCTACCTCAAGCTGTGAAGTTCTACATAAGTTCTACATGGAGTTAGATGAAATGGTTCAGAGTCTAAGATGAAGCTGCTGCTGCTGCTGCTGCTGCTGGTGAAGATGATCGTGATGAAAATGATGATGATGATGATGGAGATGATGCTGAAGATGTTGCTGATGATGTGAAGGTGATGAAGGTGTCCGTCATTAACGAGGAGTCCTTCGTTAATCTGCACACATCCAGCGTGTGTTAATGTGATTGTTATTCAGTTTATTGAGGCGCTGACACACATTCAGCTGTTACACAACATAATCCTG